AGAGCACATCCACAACTCAACAGTTGACATTCTAGATGCCACTCAAAGTCAGATCTTCCTCACCTAAAACATCCACAAATTGTACGGTGAGAAAAGAAAACATTTATATATAAAGCACACAAGGAAATCCACAACATCATCTCATCATAACTTGAAATGTTATTTACAAGCGTTTCTATAGATATATCATCATTCTATCAATCATTCATCATCTTCACATCACAATTCATAATCAAACAAATACATTACAATCGACACAAATCTTACAATTAACACTATGTCAAGGCCACGCCACATCTGACATAAGTGATACGGGTTAATTGCCTCACTCAACCCACACCATGCCAGGGGCACGCTCGTCCTTATAGCATCACTTACTCAAGGTTCGTCTCATCCTTGGTCATTAGTGTGAGGAACCACAATCACATTACAATCCACACAAGTCTTGCAATTAACCCTATGCTATGGCTGCCATATGCGACATAAGTGATGCGTGTTAATTGCCTCACTCATCCCACACCATGTCAGGGGCATGCTCGTCCTTAAAGCATCAGTACTCAAGGTTCATCTCATCCCTGATCATTAGTGTGAGGAACCACAATCACAATCATAATCACATCCATACAACATCTCATCTCATAGCTCAATTCCATATCACAGCTTTTACTTGGCTATCAAAGAAACAACAAATCGTAGCTCTATCAACGTGTGAAGCCGAGTATGTAGCAGCATCTTGGAGTGTTCAACATGCTGTTTGGCTTAGAAACTTGCTAAGCAAACTGGAAATTATGAAAGCTGAGAAAGTGTTGATCCGAGTAGACAATAGGTCGGCAATCGATGTAGACCCCTAAAATTGTCCGGGTCGGAAATAAGACTCAAAGACTCTCGAAGACCGAAGGAAAGTCAGCCGGAAGGACTCCTGGAAGACCCTAGGATGATTCTTTGTAGGTCTAGAAGTCTTAGAGTAGCTTAGAATAAGGGTGTGCGAGGATTGGAGCTCAATACCAAAACCATTGCCGACAACAACATTTCAGGAGTTAAGGAAGTTACTCGGAATGAAAGAAGAAGGAGAAATTTAACCTTATGGGGGAGTTTTGTTAGATAATCTTAAATTTTAGAGATATCCGAGTTAGTTTATCTGTTTTATTTGTTTCAGTTTAAATAAGATAGTTTTTGATAAGATTTGTTTTAATAAGATATTTTGTTATCTTCTTGTTAATTTGGTACGTTGTACAATGGCTATTTAAAAGCCATCTCTTATTCAATAAAAAATACAGTGAGTTGCTACGTTCACCCACAACATTAGTATTACTTCGTCTCTCTTATTTTCTACAAATTTCTAATTTTCTATTAATGATAGATTATGGCTCCACTTCTCTACACTCACTTTTATTCTTCCTAACATAGACTTTCCTTATTGGAGAGCTTCTAAAAATACACCCCTTCAAACGATTCACCTTGTCCTCTAGGTGAAATACAGGAAAAGCGTCTTGAATGGTCGTTTGATACTGTCTTAGAATCAGAGAATATTGGGAGCAAGAAATTTTGGGGCTCTTCTTTGTTTCGTTTCCATATTTTAAAAATGTTGTTTCATAAGCTTCTGCCTTCTTGTGATTGTGAACCTATGATTAATTTTGATATTGCAGGGATTACATTTATTCCCTGAGCACAACAATGTCTGCCTTTTCAGCTGCTGCTGACATAACTACCGAAGGATTCACTGTTTTGTCATTTTTGGATGAAGTGTATATGATCTATAAGGTGAATGCCTTTTCTCCCTATTTAAGTCAGATGATATTTATTGTTTTGTAGTACAGTTTACATGAATAAATTCTTTGTCAGAGAGGCATTAGATATTTCTAACGTATTGCTTCTTATTTATGTGGTAATATTTAATCTGTATTAAAGCAGTTAGTGCTGGTGTCAAAATATTTTAATTCAATTTCAATTTCTTTTAAGATAACCAAAATATTTAACTTTGGACATAAGAGAGGTTGAAATTCTGAAAAATAATGTTCTAAAATTCTTCTTTATAGTTGGTGTCAGTGTTTCTGCAGTCTGTAGGGTCTCTGCTCCCATTGCATAGCTGTCATTGTTGTTTATTCAGTGTGCCTTAGGCATGCCTTTGTTACTGGAGTGCTTCGCTCTTTCATTGTGCATCTTGCCCTATTTTGTTATAGACTGTGCAGTAGCCTGTGTGTCTTGTGTCCATACTGCTAATGGAAGGTCACGATCTGTTAGACACCTGAAATTGGCCACTGCCTAGAGCCTTGCCGGCAGAAACAGCCCCATGCCTCTCCATGCTCACAGAGATCGTAGTGTGAGATCACTTAAGGTTTAAAATGGGGCAAAAATCAGTGAGTTTTTCTCAGCTGATGTATTTTATATATGTGTATGAGAGATAAGCTAGTACAAAGGGTACAATCAGAGATAAAAGGCTACTGCCTATGACTCTTGACCCATCAGCAAAAAACAACAAAAAGCAGCTTTATACAGCTGTACTAAAATAATAAACATTTTTTTAACTCTCCCCCTTAAGTTGGAACATATAAATTGTATACACCAAACTTGGAACATATAAATTGAATCTTGGTTAGAGTTGATAAACTCGGTACTAAGTTCCTTGGCCAACGACTTCTCTCGAACAGAATGACAATTAATCTTATATGTTTGGTTCTCTCATGAAACATTGGATTGGAGGTAATATGAAGGGTTGCTTGATTATCCCAGTATAACTTCATTTCTTCTCAACTTCACAAAATCCCAACTCTTGAAGGAGTTATTTAATCCACATGAGTTTGCGAGTAGCCAAAGCCATAGATCTGTATTCAACCTTTGCACTGGACCATACAACAACATTTTGTTTCTTGCTCTTCCAAGAGATAATATTCCTTCCAATGAAAACACTATCTTGAGGTGGATCTCCTTTATATGGGACAATTAGCCCAATCTGCATCACAATATCCTAAAATTTGAGTATTTCCCTTGTCCTCATGTAGTAATCCTTGTTCTAAAGCCTTCTTGACATATTTGAGAAACCAAATCACAACATTCTAGTGGTCAATGTGAGGATTTTGCATGAATTGACTAACAACTCCAACAGCAAAAGAAATTCACCTTATATCTCTCACCAACCTATATCTCTCTGAATCTGAAAAAAATTCATCTTGGTCTGCCATTAGCTTTTGATTTGGGTCCATGGGATTATTAATGGGCTTACAATTTGCCAAACTTGTCTCATCTAGAATATCAAGGGCATGTTTTCTTTGTGAAATCATAACACTTTCCTTTGACCAAGCCACTTCAATACCAAAAAAGTATTTCAAACAACCTAGATCTTACGTTTGAAAATGGTTGAATAAGTCTCATTTAGTTGAGAAATCCTAGTAGTATCATTTCCTGTAATTACTGTATCATCAACATAGACTATTGGATAAACACACTTCCCAAGAGAAGTATGAAAAAAAAAGATGATCTGTCTCACTTGGTTTCAATCCAAAAATCAGCACAATATGACTAAATTTACGAATCCAAGCTTGGGGTTATTGTTTTAGCCCATAGAGAGATCAACACAATTTACAAACTAGACCATACTCCCCCTAGGCAACAAACATAGGAAGTTGCTCCATGTAAATCTCCTCCTTGAGGCACCATGAAGGAAAACATTTTTAATGTCAAGCTGGTGGAAGACCAATGACGAATAACAACCATAACAAGAAAGACCTAATTAACTACTTTTATAACTATCCTATTATGGATAAAGTCTGATAGTAGCAAATCCTACAACTCTTACATGTAAAAAATCATAGTGACTTCAAGTCAAAAGACCACCCTACTATAGTCACCCACCATGAGAATCGCTTATGATAGTTAGGGGTGAGTTTATTTTATTATTCATATTGGTGCATAGAATAACATGGAACTATTGAAGTCAGTCTTTTTTGGGAGCTAGATTTTTGGGTCTAAAAGGAGTGCGGAAGGAGTTAAACACGCCATGTTTTATTGTAAATACCTATGCAACTTGTTCCATGGTAGAAAAAAGGATTTTGTGGGAAGCATTAGTGAGGATCAAGAGCAACAACATTGTGAAGTAAAGACAAACATAAGAAGAGTAATCAAGGTCACATATTTGAGTGTATCTCTTGGTCACCAATTGAGCCTTAAGGCGATCAACTTCACTAGGCCCAACTTTAATAGCATATACCTATTTACAATCAACAATCTTCTTTCCAGGAGGAAGTGGGACAAGCTCCCATGTGCCATTTGCAAGAGCATACATTTCATCAATTATGGCTTGTCACCATCCAAGATGATCAAGTGTCTCATGGATATTTTTAGGAACAGTAAGAGAGGACAAAGAGAAAATGAAAAAGAAGCATGAAGGAGACAACTAGTGATAACTCAAAATATTATAAATAGGATGAGGATTATGAGTAGACTAAACACCTTTCCTTATAGCAATGGGCCAATCTGAATTGGAGTCATGAGAAGGTGTTGAGGATGAAGGATCCATGGTACTATAGGAGCTATTGGAGGAGGATTTGAATCATAAGAAGATTTTCAAGCAATGTAGAATCAACTCTCTGTGTCATGCCGATATGTAATGAAGGGTGGCGGAGCAACTTTAGGTGAACTATGTGTGTGAGATTGAGGCTGATTTCCATCTTGGTTGGAGTTAGAAGGAGTGGGAATAATTAGTGGATTGAAGGATGAAACTAGAAGAACCTGTCGAATGGAAACACGATTTTTTATGGAGGATGAGAAAAAAAAGGTGTTTCTCGAAGGAGGTAACATCAACACACATGTACCTTTTGGTAGTTGGGGAATAACATTTGTATTCTTTTTGAAGTGAGAATATACCAAAAAAACACATTTAATAGCCTTAGCAGAAAGTTTGTCTAAACTTGGAGAGACATTATGAACAAAACAAGTACAATCAAACAACTATGGACAATGACGTATATGATGGATCGACAATGCAAGAAGACATAACGAGATCTTACTCGCTTTGATACCAACTTAAGATTTAAAATGGGGTAAAATTAGAGTTTCCCTCAACTGAAGTATTTTATATATATGTGTATTATAGGTAAACTAGTACAAAGGGTACAATCAGAGGTAAAAGGCTACAACCTGTGACTCTTGACCCATCAACAAAATACAACAAAAAGCAACTTTATACAACCATACTAAACTAATAAACTATTATTTTAATAAGATTGATTCATCACCTTCTTGACCTCTGTTCACCTTACTAGTGGTCTCATTTCACTCGCATCCATACACCTGTTTTACTAATCAAACCTAATTGCTTGATCGTAAGCTAACAATCAAGTCTATGTTGTATAGTTGAACATAACATCCAAGATAATTGAATTTGACTAAAAGGGAGAGTTAATAGTTGTAGAAATAGTTCAAATTATAGAATTATGATTTCTAGGTTCATTAGTTGTTGAATAGTTCCTACTTTTTGGATCCATTTTTGCTTTCTAGATTCATTATTGCTCATTATCAATGTAACAGAATATGATATCAGTTCAGCACTTTGATATTGAACAATTCACCCAACTTATGATTTTTCTTGGACTAATATCAATTTTAACATGATATTAAGATACTTCTATCATTTTTTTTATTGCCATGATTTCCTCTTTTGCTCATCTTAGATCCACCATGCATAGGTTCTTTAATGCGAACAAGATGAATGTGAAATTGATAGTTGTAGAGAAAAGAAAGGTACTAGAAGGAGAGTTTGAATAGTGTTAATAAAAAACTACATACTTTTTTGAAATAGTGAAGTACTTTTGTAAGACCGAAGGAATGCAGAGGAAGTAAAGCAAAAAATACAGTTTTTCTACTAGTTTGTCTTAACTATCGACACTGTCTAGTTTTTGATCAACTTGATTAAGTTCCACTATCTTTTACAAAGATTAAGTATTGTTTGATTTGTTTCTTCAAGCAAATTATTCAAGTATTCTTTGAACAACAAAGCTTCTCTAAGGTTCAACATCAAGTATTCTTTAAATAACAAAGCTTCTCTAGACATCAAGATAAAACACGTTTTTAGTTGAGTAAAATAAAAGAAGAATTTTTCTTATAAACAAAATGTCATAAACTGTTAGGTACATAGTGTAATTTACTAAGAATGAATAAAGAATAAGATTGTTTGTTGGTTCACTTTTTTTTTGAATTGTTCAAACTTCTTTATATAGGTGTCTTTTGAAGGTGACTGTTACAAATCCTTGAGTTCCACTCGTCAACTTGTTCCATCTTGCTTCGTCTTACTTCCTATTAGAGCGAGGTGTCAGTTGGTGTAATAAATGTTTGCATTAAATGTGTTTTACCAAATAGTTAGCTCTCGTTTGATCACAGAGGCTAGTTATCATCTTTAGAATACAAAAAGATAGGAACTATCACTTGTGTCACTCAATAACGATTTTTAGCTAACTTTGCATACTTTTAGATATATGCTTGTCATTTTTCTTACGTAAAGCAAAATCTCGTTCTTTTATGCGTTGAATACCAAAGAAACATTTTATTTTTTTTGATCTGTTAAGGAATATCAAGACAACTGATGATAGAAACATCAAATATATTTAATGTGATATTTAAAGCATTTGTCTATGATAGATGATATGTTCAATATTGTTGAGAGAAATGGTAAATAGAATAAACATTTCCTTATGTATTACAAAATGAAAGATATGTTTATATACAAAGTAGTGGGCCTAAGCCCATGTGGTCAAACTATATCTAACACT